GGGCCCAGAGCTGCCATATGCTCTCTGCTCTGGGCCGGAGCTACTACACAGGATAAGCAACAAAGGGGGCAGGGGGCAGTGGCACTGAAGGGGTGGGACAAGAGGCTGGGGAGCAAGAGGCAACTCCCCCTGTTGCCACTGTTTTCCCCGTTGGAGTGGTCATAGGGAAGAATTTAAGACAACCCTCTAATAAAAAGATTCCATATGTGGAAAATTATAACACATTTGTCATTTTCCATGTATAGAATCTTGTTATTGGGAGATCATCTTAAAAGCTGAGTGAGAAGCAAGGTAACAGCTGCAACACCTGACCAAAAGCACCTTAAGCAGCAATCTATAAATCCAAACACCGCCAAGAGGAAACTTAAGAAGTGTGAATGTGGGCCCAGAGAGACCAGTAATAACCCTCAAGGCCTTACTGCACTTAAATCTCATTGTGTTCTCATTACCAATCTCCCCGAGCAATAAGTACCAAGAAAGTAATTGTCAGACTTGAAAACCCGCCCTCCCATGAATGCAGCGTAAGAGACCGTTCCAATGCTGAACAAGGCCTGCTTATGTCAAATGGCACTGTCCTAAAAAAAAAAAAGAAGAAGAAGGATGCATGCACTCAATAAGCACAATCACATCAGCTGCAATCATGTCCAAAGTGACAGCATACAACTAGGTTCAAAATAAAAAGCCTGCGTACCTGAGTCTGAACAGTCCCATTTCCACTGGCTTTGCTAAATCCAGCAATGTAGCTATACAACAGAAACTGAGGAAAGAAGAGTACATAAACAAAAATGTGTGTGTGATCTAGGCCAAAAAGCTTGGTCCTGGAGAATGAAAAATCAACACGTCCTTTGGTCCTTTGTGTGTTTCTGAACAAGCACCAATGTAAGACAGAACACCACGGGAAAATTAGTCTCGATGAATCCAGGAGTTTGCAGCGCTGGGTTTGAGCATGAAGGAGACGGGTGTATTATTATATGCAGTCTGTGCTCAAAGGCTCCCAAAGATCATTAAGCTTGGTGTTGTGCAAACACACTTGAACTTTCTTGCTTCAACCCACATGTTCACCCTCAGTGGCCAGACAGGCCATAAAACCATCCCCGAGCATGTTTGCTAATATAAAACAGACATTAAGTACTGGGTGTAAAACTATTTGTGCAAAGCATTCTCTCACCAGGAAAAATATGCATAGCCATGGAATTCAAAAATGCCT